AGAGGGACGGCCTAGTCTGCCTTATAAAAGAGGCATATCAAAGTAAGATTAAAAACAAACAAATTACTAAACTTTATCAGAATCTACAATCACTCAAAGACCAATCAACTAATTATATAAAAATTAAATGGGAAAGGGAAGCACAAGTCACCATATCGGATGAAAGCTGGGCAACTATATGTGAAACACAGAGGAAAACTACCAGTTCGGGTTACTGGAGGGAATTCACTTGGAAAAATGTTACCAGGTTCTTCATAACCCCTAAAATAAAATGCAAACAGAGAGGCCAACAGAGAGAAGGACATTGCTGGAGACAATGTGGGGAAAACATGGCAGACCACTTCCATATTCTTTGGAAATGCCCGGTAATTCAGCCATATTGGAGGGAGATGGTCGACACAATCACAGTCGTGACGGGTTGTGAGGTAGTTAAGGATTTCTGTACTGTTTACTTGGGTGATATCCCATCAGCAGTCCCCACAAGAGACAAATATTTAATGAATATCACGCTGGCTGCAGGCAAAAAAGCGCTTACCAGGAAACGGCTAGAGAAGAATGCCCCAACAAGGAAAGACTGGCAGGGAATAGTCGAGGAAATATATAAGATGGAAAAACTGACAGCCTTTTTGAGCCTTAAATGAGATCATTTTCACAGGAATTGGGAGAAATGGGAGAGATTTACTAACAGCAATACCACGCAATGATGGAGGGCAGGTTGTATAACTAAGGTTTAACCTACTCCCATATGTTTACTGCAAGTGGAAGAGCCTGTTGTGGATACAAACACTTCACAATGGACTGGAAACACCCCTTCAGAACATCATCAGAGGCGGAACATTAAGGGCTACATGGACCCCGATATACGAACAAAACCAGAGGTCATGGGACTCTGAAGAGAAGGGAGGCTGGCTCTCCCGGAACAGGGCGGACCCGACGGTTCCACTGTGCCAGTTGTTATTGTTGTTATATGTTTTATGTACCTTAACAAAGCTTTCAATAAAAAGAAAATATTAAAAATAAACATGGACCAGCTAAAGAACGGAGTTCTGCTCGGATGATTTTATAATAACATTCATGAGCAGAAATGCAGTCAGCCGCTAGTGTTGCTAAATGAGAGAGTAGCATGTCAGCATTGGTGTTTTATTCACTGTAATAAAAGCACAAAGGCTTAATCTGTGTTATCTAAATCTTTACAGCAGATGTGTCAGATTACAGCTCTAAAGTTCTCACGATACATTCTACCATGAATAGAAACTTATTTGAACACGTCAGCCTTTCAGACATTCTGGGGGATGGTCCGACTCATTACTGGATTTGAATCCTGTCCAATAAATACCTCAGTCTGGATTGGTGTGGTCAAGCTGCAAATTTAATTCTCCTAAATCCTAATTTACAGGTCCAGTCATCAATATCCTTAATAATACAAAGAGCATAATTTGTGTTCACTCAACGTCGTTTTTGTATGCAAGCTGTTAATTTAGTGGTGGATGATGATAATGAAAGGATTAACGTGGCACTCAATGGATTAAAACTGATCTAGGACTTGAAAGGATTTTCCAGCCTTTCAGATGCAGCTTTCTGTGCAAAAGTTATGATTTTGTCTAATTTTATATTAGATTATTCATCAGAGAAATGGTGTTTGTGTCCTGCAGGACAAATGAGCCTGTCTAAACTTAACATAGATACATAATGTTGCTGTGTGAATGACTAAAACCTGTCCTGCTCTGGCTGTTAGCTGAGTGCCACACGATGACTTCTCTGCAGGAAGTTTCTGAGATACTTCTCCTGTTGTGTAGTCAACTTAGGGTGTTTCTCAATGCCAACGAACCTCGCCTTGATATCTTGGCCCTGCCCCGGTTGCCTAGGAGATACGTCATCAGGAGCCACCAAGACGTGTTCCAACGTTCATGTTCTATCGAGGCGTGTGTTCTCCGTTTGTTAGCCGTTGAGCTAGCTGAGCAAGGACAGACAGGAGGTGCATTGTAGCATAGCCTAGGTCAAAAATGTCCCTGAATACACCGCGGTATTTCCAAAAGGATGGCAGGTCAGAAGCCGGCAGCTACTTCGGGGGCAAATTTCAAGTTTAAAAGTAAGTCAACTCATTAAAATTGTTTTTTTTTTTTTAGATCCAAAGAAGTTATCTATGGTTGGTTAGTAGCTCAGTAGTTGCAGCTTTGGTGGCTAGCGGGTAGTAACTCACAGATATATTTAATTTAACATATATACACACAATTTAAAAAGTAAAAGCCTTGTTATATATTTATATTGAAACTATACGTATAAAATGTGATGTTATTTCCCGTGTCACGTGACGTTGCGTGACCGCCGTGGAAGCCATGGTTACATGATGCAAGTCTGTTACATTTAACCGTTTTCTTTGACCAAGGAAGGACAGCGTTCTCGTACGCAAGGTGCCTGGCCCCACAAGACATCGCCTCGCAAGGCCAAGCGCCTTGACATTGAGAAACACCCGTAATCTACGATATTACAGACCGCATCCAACGCAGAGACAAGAGGCAGACAAATACTATAAAAAGAGCACATGAGAGTTCATACAACATCAATTTATGAACCTTTTCACCACAAAGAGTTTTGCAACTGACAAAACATGTTGGTCATGGCTGCTCTTGGACTAGCCGTTAGCTCATCAATCCTGTATTTATTTATAACTTCATCAGAGAAATAAGTTTATGTTTATTAAATTGCACAACGCTTTTATCCAAAGCGTTGTGCAATTTTTAAGCTATAGGGCATGTTGTGATTTGTGGAGGAAATCGGAGTACCCAGAGGAAACCCACACATGCATAGGAAGAACATGCAACTCCACGCAAAAAGGCCGCAGCTGAGTTTTGAACCTGCAACTTTCACGTGCAAGGCAACAGTGCTAACCACTGTGCCACCACTCAGCCCAAAATATCCTGAAAATAAGCTGAAAAATCCCTTTTAACAGAGAGAAGCACAAGTATGCCACTCTGATGTTCGGGGTGCATCCTCTGAGCATCATGAACATTTGTAAGTAAGTAAGTACATTTTATTTATGTAGCACTCATCACAGACAGAAAATCACAATAATGATCAAAATAAAACAAATTACATCATGAAATCATAAAGATAAAAACAAAGTCATATACCAAAGTCAAATACTGTAAAACAATGAAAGATGATTACAAATTTGAGTAAAAAATAAGAAAATAAAAGGTTTAGTTAAAAGCAGCTTTAAATAAAAAGGTCTTTAGCTGTTTTCTAAAAGCGTTCAGACTGTCAATGCTATGTAAGAATAGAGGAAGATCATTCCAACATCGGGGTGCAACAGTCTGGAAGCAGGACCTCGACTTTTATATCTGGTCTTTGGAACTTCTAGAAGGTTCTGGTGGGTGGACCTGAGGACTCGGGTTGGAGCATAAGCCTTTAACAGTTCAGTAATACAGGGAGGAGCTTGACCATGTAGGGCATTGAAAGTTATCATCTAAAATTAACTCTAAAGGTAACGGGTAACCAGTGCAGAGACATCAGAACAGGAGTGATGTGTGCTCTTCTGTTTGCTCCAGTTAGGAGCCTCGCTGCAGAGTTCTGGACCAACTGAAGGCGGTCAAGGGCTTTTTTGTTAAAACATGAAGAGTGTGTTACAGTGTTGGGAGGAGATAAAGGCACGGAGAACCATTTCAAGTTCATGTTTTGACACCAACCTTTGCAGTTTGGAGAAATTTCTTAAATGATAAAAACAGTTTTGGACCAACGTTTTTGAGTGACCTTCAAGAGACGTTGATTGGTCAAAAACAACACCCAAATTCCTTAAGTTTGTCTCGACGGCAGAGGATAAACGACCAAGTTTTAGACTAATCAGGGGAACTGTGCTCTCAGGGGCAATGATCAGACATTCATTCTTTTCAGAGTTTAACTGAAGGAAGTTATCTTCTAGCCAGCTGGTGATCGCTGATAGACACTCTAGTAAGTCAGACAGTTTGTAGAGCTCAGAATCCTTAAAGGAGCAGTACAGCTGAATATCATCTGCATATAGGTGATAGGAGACATTATAAAAATAATCAATTATCTGTCCAAGAGGGTGTATGTACATTAGAAACAAGAGTGGACCCAAAACAGAACCTTGGGGTACCCCACAGAACAGATTGGTAGAATCTGACACGATTTGTTAAACCCTTTGACCAAGTCAGCATCTAGAAAAAAGCTGTGTGACCTGCTGGCTGCAGACTCACATTCCTGAGTAGAACAAGAAGATTGTAGCTTCAAACAACGATTAAATATCTAAAACGTAATTTAAACTGTTTAAAATAAACCACAAATGAAAAAATATTTTCAAAAAGAGGAGGTTAAAGGACTTGTTGGCACCGTAGATTGAACCTAACCAAAGAGAACAAAATAAACCACTCGGACATAATCGTTAGAGGGAAATAATACACTACAAATATCAGTTAGATGTCTTGGAGACCTGGGATTTAAAAGGAAAACCACATAATAGCAACAATCTTGGTTTGAGTTGTGCTGCAGGCTGGCCAGCCCTTCTGTTTCTCAGGCTTTCCCTCAGTTTGTCTTGATTTCATCTCAGACCTCAACTATGAAAAGATGATGAAGCTGTCTGATCCACAAAGAGTAAAAGAAAATGACACAATTGTCTCTGTTCTGGTTAGCTGTGCAGCGTGCGAACAACAGCAGGAGCAGCGTGAAAGCCTCTGAGATCTGTTTACAGCGACAACACACACGGCAGCTGACAGACTGGTCCTGGCGCACACGATGCCACGCTGACACCACCATGAAGGTGAAGCTTTTGTTCTCTAAGGTTCTGGGGTTTCCCTGTTGAGCTCTGGGAAGGGGCAGAGGCACAGCACAGCAACACCCCCCCCACACACACACACACACGCGCGCATACACACACACACACACACACGCGCGCGCATACACACACCAGCCAGGCCTTCCAGCATGCCTCATCACTCCCTGATAAGAAGTCAGCCCTCGGGTGTAGACACATGGCAGGTACTCACAGCTTGGGCTTTGGCTTGGTAGGAAGTGGAACAGCGTCTTTCCCAGGTGATGGAGACAGCTTTCCTGGGTTGGGCGGAGAATCTGGGACCATGTGACTTGGTGCTGCAGCTAGGACATTTGTCGTAGGGCCAGTCTCCGGCAGAGGTAAAGGAAGGGAGATGGGCTCTTTAGGTAAGCTTGGAGGCGATGGTGTATGTTGGGATTGACCATTCTGCAGAGGTTCCTGCAGCTCTCCCTCTGAGCTCATTTGAACTGGAGGCAGAGCCGACACACTGGGCCAGATTTCTAGCTCTCTGACGTGGAAAGCCTCTGAACCGGGTTGAAGCAACAGCTTGGGTGGAAGCTCCAGGAGGCTGATCTCTGTGGGTGGTGGTGGAGGAGGTGGAGGGAAGGACAGTGCATCCTCCAATCCTGAGCTACCTCCAGACAGACCATTACTGGATGAGTCCTCAGCTGCTGAGAAAAACAAAACGAGTGGGTCTAAACTTTCATGTTTAACTGTCCTCTCAGCTGATTCGAGCTGAAGCAGCAGCCTGGTCCTGCCATCCTGATGCATTTCCTGTTTGCTTTAAACTGTGTGATGAGTCCTGGACTGTACTAACAGCCCTGTCTGTGACTATGTGTCCAGGATTATTTGTCTCACACAGATCTAGCGGGATTAAACACAAGAGGTGGTCTTGTGGTACCATTTCATGGCAGCTTTTTTTTTCAATAAATAGCAGGGAACACATTTATTTTGTGATGAGCAGCGGGATATTTACCAGCAGTAGATGGTGGTCTGATCTAAACCTGATGACATGAACCAATTTTAAATGGTCTCACAAAAAAATATTAGTTTTTGTTTCTAAAACACGTTTTCCTGGTTTTGTTGGGCACAACAAATCAGTTCTTACCCGTTAAAAGGAAAATCTTTGAATGGTCTCAGCTTGGAGAACAGATCTATTCTGCAGCCATTCAAAAAGCTCTTTGTTCAAGTTTCCACCAAACCCCACTTGAGCAGACCTGAACTGTTGTTCTCATGTTTTTGTGTTTCTTTGTGGTGCTGGTCTCTGTCAGTCAGCGCCGGACCCACCTGGAGTGACGCTGAGCTGAGATGTGCTGCTGACAGAGCCGTATGAGTTGGACGCTGTGCAGCAGAACAGACCTCCGTCCTCCGGAAAGACCTCAGAGATCACCAGGGTGCAGATCTCCTCTACAAACAAAACCAACAGGTAAGTTATGTAATTAATCTTAAAACCGTTCTGAAGACAAGATAACAGGTAAGGTGTACAGCAGCCTGACGGTGACTTTCCTATAGACTGATGAGTCACCGTTCAGACGCACGGAGAGTGGATCTGAATAAACACGAGGAGCAGACAGACAGATGTTCGGGGACGCCTCTGTGACTCACAGAGTGAGATAAGCCTTCAGTCATGCAGGTGGATCATATCTGACGTAGCCAGTGTTTATGCGCTGTTGCTTTCTCAGGGACTCCCTCGGCCTCTGGCACGAGTGTTTCTGAGACATGAACTGCCTGTGACCTGATTTAGTCATGACCCCTGACACAGCTGGGTGTGAGTCTACAGACGAAGCCTCTGATCCATTACCAGTGGGACCACGAGCAGAAGCGTGGAGCAGATTTATGACGGGCCGGAGGGGACATACCTGGCTCCGCTGCAGATCGAGGTTCTGGTTCGTCGTCATCACAGACACAGAGACAGAAATCAAAGATTTAATCAGTGAATGTTGTTTATCTACAAAAAAATGTGCAATTTTCTCACTTTTTTGAAGAATACGAAAATCTGGTGAGTCCAGAATCTCCTTTCCCTGACGGAACCACTGGACCTGCAGGGGTGGGCTCCCGCGGACCCTGCACTCCAGAACCACCACCTGGCCCTCTGACGCCTGGGCATCCTGCAAGAGCTACAAGGGAGAGGGATTGATCGGTCAGAGACGAGGAAAGAAGAGAGGAGAAATAAGAAAAAGGAATGAGTGAGTGAAGGATGAGGGGATGAGAAGAAGTATAACCAGAAAAGGAAAAGAATAAATCTGCTTCAGAGGAGGCCCGGGACAGCCTGATGTGGTTCTGTGCTCATAAAAAACACGAGAAGAGAGGGGATCCAGAACCACTGACCTGTTATATCCTGCTGCCCCTGCTCTAGCTTCAGGACATTACAGTGCACGTGGAAAGTTTTCACTCTTTATACTTAACACCTTTAATCTCTTATTCATATAAGACATTTCCCCTTAACAATCTATAAACTGCTCTCTGCAAATATAATTCAGCAGGAGTGGTTTGGGTGTTTTTCTGAGCCTTCACCACGTTTCTCAGGTCTGTCATTGGGCGTGATCACATGATTCAGTCCTTTCTTCTGCTCAGAAGTTTCTTTAGGCTCAGCTTCTTTCTTTCAGCTTCTCATTGTTATAAATGCAGTCTTAGAAAACAGGTGTGTTTAATTTAAATAAAAAGGTTACACAAGCAGAGGGAAACTCTTTTTCAGCAAAGCTTCTCACAGTTGTTCCTAAAACTCTACATTCAGCTCAGGCTCAGATTCATGCTGAACCATGAGCTCCCTGCAGCCTCAGCGGGCTTTGAGAAGAGCAGCTTCACATCAAACCGTGTCTAGGTTTGGTTTTAGCATCCGCTCCTCCTGTCCACACAGTTATTGGTGACAAAACAGAGTCTCATAAACACACTTCTGGCAACTGTGGTGCCTTCACATGAACAGGATCAAATACATGGTGGTTTAGCATCTTCAGCTCTCTGCTGCTTAGCCAGTTGTTCTGGAAATCACATCAACTGCACATAAACACCGGATATTTTTATGTTTGGGTTGCTTTGCTTGAATTGTTATAACTAAATTTGGCAACGCTGTACCAGATAGTCAGACTTCTGCCTCCAATGCTCAGAGGAAACCACAGAAGATGGTCTTGGGTCAGACAAGGACGAGACCTCCAGTAGGTGTTTAGAAAAGGATGAATGCACACATTTAAGCAGGGTTTAGTGTTTTGTTCAAAGTTATCAAAAAACTTTTAAAATCAAGTTATGCTGACTGAAAAACACCTGAACTGGAATAGACAGGATTTAGTCTTTAACCCAAAAACGTCCAGTCAGTCACAAATCAGCGTGTGAAGACTTCACACAGACAGAGAGATGGAGCTTGGAGCTGGGCGGGGGGGTGATGTTCTGAGAAAAACTCAGAACTGCTAAGAATAATGTTATATATTTCTAGATGAAAAACTTGGATGTTATTTCATGTTGGAATATATTAAATTTGCAAGAAAAACATCAGAATCCACACCATTAAAGGAAAAAATACAAGAATATTGCTCTGAAATAAAGGTCATTTCATTCTCCAATGATTCAATTTCATAAAATAGCAAGAATAAAAGTCTTGAATTTACCTGAAAATAAACTCAAATGTTTATCAAGTATGCAAAATCACAAACACTTCAGGGGAAAAGGACAAAAACAATCTAAAGCACATTAAAGACCTGGTGTGAGCGTCACATTCACAGGAATAAGAAGACTGTGGGATTACAAAGGGCACTGTTTGTTCTGGTTGAAGTAGAAGATGCCAAAAACATCTGTGTTTGGTGGGAGGAATAAACGTGATAGTAAATCCAAAACAAAACATAAATCATGAATGTTTGCAGTTCATATGTATTACAGTAATATCCTGCTGAGGTCCAGACATCAGCTATTTGGTGTTAGGACCTGGTAAACATACAGTGGGGCAAAAAAGTATTTAGTCAGCCACCGATTGTGCAAGTTCTCCCACTTAAAATGATGACAGAGGTCAGTAATTTACATCATAGGTACACTTCAACTGTGAGAGACAGAATGTGGAAAAAAATCCATGAATTCACACGGCAGGATTTTTAAAGAATTTATTTGTAAATCAGGGTGGAAAATAAGTATTTGGTCTCTTCAAACAAGGAAAATCTCTGGCTCTCACAGACCTGTAACGTCTTCTTTAAGAAGCTTTTCTGTCCTCCACTCGTTATCTGTATTAATGGCACCTGTTTGAACTCATTATCTGTATAAAAGACACCTGTCCACAGCCTCAAACAGTCAGACTCCAAACTCCACTATGGCCAAGACCAAAGAGCTTTCGAAGGACACCAGGAAAAGAATTGTAGACCTGCACCAGACTGGGAAGAGTGAATCTACAATAGGCAAGCAGCTTGGTGTGAAAAAATCAACTGTGGGAGCAATTATCAGAAAATGGAAGACATACAAGACCACTGATAATCTCCCTCGATCTGGGGCTCCATGCAAGATCTCATCCCGTGGGGTCAAAATGATCATGAGAACGGTGAGCAAGAATCCCAGAACCACACGGGAGCACCTGGTGAACGACCTGCAGAGAGCTGGGACCACAGTAACAAAGGTCACCATCAGTAACACACTACAACGGCAGGGAATCAAATCCTGCAGTGCCAGACGTGTTCCGCTGCTGAAGCCAGTGCATGTCCAGGCCCGTCTGAAGTTTGCCAGAGAGCACATGGATGATACAGCAGAGGATTGGGAGAATGTCATGTGTTCAGATGAAACCAAAGTAGAACTTTTTGGTATAAACTCAACTCGTCGTGTTTGGAGGAAGAAGAATACTGAGTTGCATCCCAAGAACACCATACCTACTGTGAAGCATGGGGGTGGGAACATCATGCTTTGGGGCTGTTTTTCTGCTAAGGGGACAGGACGACTGATCCGTGTTAAGGACAGAATGAATGGGGCCATGTATCGTGAGGTTCTGAGCCAAAACCTCCTTCCATCAGTGAGAGCTTTGAAGATGAAACGTGGCTGGGTCTTCCAACACGACAATGATCCCAAACACACCGCCCGGGCAACAAAGGAGTGGCTCCGTAAGAAGCATTTGAAAGTCCTGGAGTGGCCTAGCCAGTCTCCAGACCTCAACCCCATAGAAAATCTGTGGAGGGAGTTGAAAGTCCGTGTTGCTCGGCGACAGCCCCAAAACATCACTGCTCTCGAGAAGATCTGCATGGAGGAATGGGCCAAAATACCAGCTACAGTGTGTGCAAACCTGGTAAAGACCTATAGTAATCGTTTGACCTCTGTTATTGCCAACAAAGGTTATGTTACAAAGTATTGAGTTAATTTTTGTTATTGACCAAATACTTATTTTCCACCCTGATTTACAAATAAATTCTTTAAAAATCCTGCCATGTGAATTCATGGATTTTTTTTCACATTCTGTCTCTCACAGTTGAAGTGTACCTATGATGTAAATTACTGACCTCTGTCATCATTTTAAGTGGGAGAACTTGCACAATCGGTGGCTGACTAAATACTTTTTTGCCCCACTGTATAAAACAGTCTTTGAACAGTCAGCTGATTAAAAAACCTACATGTTTATTTTGTTTCACGTTATTGTCTCGTGTCTTTCAATAAAATCACAGTTGTAAAATACAAAAATAAAAATACTTTTTAAAAATGATTGTTTCAAGAAGCTGGCATCCATTGGCTAGGAGGCAGGGCGTCCTGAGGATAATGTTGTTAATCAGTTCAACAACACAGGCAGTATGAGTGTGTTCTAGCTTCAAACATCCACCTGGGAGCGGATGGAGACGCTGACATGACTCAGCATAAATCAGTCTGAGATTTGGCCACTGAAAGCTTTCAGCATTAAGAAGCCCACGGAGGAAGAAATGCATCATGGGTCTGGATGCACTGGTGCTCACCTCACCAGAGCCAGAGGTCGTCTCATTGGGATGATTAAAGCTCGGAGAGCTCATAAGGAGCTGGATGTCGGAGGGAAGGGAAAACAAATGTCTTTTCTTAATGAAGTGGAAAATGATTTAGGGCCTGACAGGCTGAATGAAAGTGAAGGGGACCTGACCCTCGTGGGTTTGGCAGGGCTGTTTGAAGCTCTGCCTCGGCCCGTCTCAGTCCAGCTATCACAAGACCTGCAGAGAGGTCCGCTGAGGAGGAGGATCTGGCCCCCAGCGCTGAAACCCACAACACTGTGGACTGTTATTATAGCCAGTCCAGAGACACGTGTTCCAGGATCTCTGGGTGTGTGTGTGTGTGTGTGTGTGTGGCAGGCACATCGTACACATGCATGAAGGCATCTGATGCTTTTTTTAACTTACTTGGATCGTGCAGTAGTCTGTAAGATTACTTTCAGTGGACTGTGACAAAATTTGGAGTGTTGACCATAATGCTGTTTAAAGTATGTTACACATGTAAACCCACCTTGGTGAACAGTGGAGGACCTGCCAACTCACCACCATGCAGCGGTAACACCGGGCTCTGCATCTAGAGAGAAAACACTCAGCTGAGGGGGAGAGTTTTTAGGTTTTTTCACACACACACCAGCATGTCTGGCTCTTCTGTCCTGGGAGGTGTGTGTTCTTACCCGCTGTGGGGGCTGGGACATGGACTGGACCAGGGAGGAGCGGTGAGGTAGCACCTCCGGGGCTTTGGGTGAAGACGAACGTATCGTCAAGGACATCGACATGGTCTTTTTCTGAGCTCTTTAATAAAGTGAAATATAAATGAGCGTGCGTGATTCTGTATGCTTTTAGTGAAATATGATATTAGCAAGAAAAGAAAATGTCTGCAGCAACTAAGATGATGTCAGAGATCTTGGCTTCAGCGTGTAAACAAAGAGGAACAGAAACAGAAATCAGGAAGCAGCTCAGATGGAGGCAGATTTATACAGAAGATAATAATCAGACACATTGTGAGAAATAGAAAGCATGTGGTGTTCAAATGGAAAGAAAAGTATTCTCATCAGGATAAATAGTTTTGGTTGGAGTCTAAAAATGAATCCATCAAGACTCAAACACACACAAGGTTTAGCGCTTAAATCTGAAGGTTCACAGGACAACTGTGACACGGTCGTCCTTTTTCATGTTAACCCTCTCATTATATGGAATGTGTCCCGTTCTGGGTCAGCGTCGTGGCTGTCTCAGTCCCTTTAAGGGTCTGGTTAGAGAGAAGCAGACAGCAGACTTGACGAGCTGCAGCTGGGCTCTGCTGACTTGTTCAGGGCTGTAACCGTCTCTGGGATTAACAGAGGTGATGCAGAAACACGTACTGAGGCATGGCTCCTGATCTTGACTTTGATGCTCCTTCTCCTTCTGAGTCAGACGAAGACGCTCCTGCAGGTGGAAGAGCACTACACTGTGGATTTTTTTTCTTCAAATCTTCAAAAAAGCTGTTTTGTAATCTAAAACATGCACAAAATCAGCTGGAAGCAGACTGCAGTGCCAGGGAAGTCCCAACAGGTCTTTAACCTGCCTGTCCGAAGTTGCAAGTGTGGTATTCTGGCCACAGAAGGCGGTGGGGATCTTTTCATTAACTCTAAAGGCTAATTTTAGCACATACTGGCTCAAGGAAATGATTTAAAAATATGAAAAAGTGGCATAGTATCCCTATGAGATCGGACGTATTAGAAAGTGTTGAATAGACTTCAGTTATTGAATGTTTTTTTATTTATTTAGATGATTTGAAAATTAAATGAGCATGTTAGCTACTGTTTCTATCTGTGATGGCTTTACACACATCTGTAAACTGCATTTACGGCTTCATTCTGAACGTACTTTTCTACACCTGCATGATTTAAATGACACAGGTCAAAAGGCTCCTGTGACAAGTGAACTGAAACTGAACCCGTTTGTTTTAAAGCTTTATTTTCTGTAACACAACTTTCTCACTGTTAGTTGTGCTTGTTAGCTCTTGGTGTAATATTCAAACACAATGCCGCAGGATTTTATTGTTACAGCTTAAAAAAATGACTTCTTCTTTTATTCATTCTTTATGATAATGTGTTTTTAATTATTTTCCTGCAGCCTCATGTAGTTTCTGTCCAAACCATTTTCTCATAGCAAAGATAAAAGAGAGCAAAGATTAGACGAGGGCCCAAATTGGGTTTTTCCACCTTAACAATGTTTGTGCAAATAAAATCAAAGTATTTTTTTCCTTTCAGGTTTGCACCCAGTGATTACTTCCTCAACAGTTTCCTGTAGTTCGTGATATTTTAAGGACACTGAGGATAGCTGGAAGTCAAGAACTACAAAGCTAAAATGTCATGTCTGTGATGCTCTGGTTAGAAAACATCCAGAGGCAGAATGTCCATCAGTGTTATGAAAAGTGTGTTTATTTGGATTATAATATTTTTTATCAGACGGCTGCTATAAAGATAAATAAATATGAAGATGTCAGAGTTTCTCAGTCAGACAGAGACCTAGATTTCATTTTATATGAACGTAAAAAGTAAGATTATGATTCCATTCAAGTCTCACAACCATCAACCCTTGAAGAACACCCACCACAGTTAACATTAATTCATGATCATCTCTAATGAAGAATCAGGTGCACAGATTCGTTTACGTTACAGGATTTATTTTAATCAACATGAGTGTAGCTCAGCGACTCGAGCCCACACTCCCACTCTTTAAGTAGATTACGTTCAAGTTTTAAAGTTTTAAGTTATTCTCAGGAGGTCTGAAGTAATCCTCCTTCTTTAAACTTACTATTCCTAAAAACTGTCTCACACCATGATACTGCCACCTTCGTGCTTGACAGTTGGTGCTCTTGAGATTCAATGACTCGGCAAACACGTCCTTCAAACAAAAGCAACTCTTTACTCAGTAACACAAGACCTTTTTCTGCACATACTCACACATAAATACACTCGTAACATGTGCATACGTACTCAAAAACAGATGCATGCATACTAGTTATCCATCTTTTCTTCTCTGACTATTCAACGTGAGTCATATGGAGGTTCGTGGTCCATTTGGTCAGCTGAGGACTTGACTTAAACTTGAAGGCCTGATTGAACAGAAGTTTCCTGGACAGCAGATGCTGAGTTTGCATGAGGGTATCGACATTCCTCGTTCATTACAGTCGGCGTTGCGGTAATTCTTAACCATTCAAACTGATTTCATTTCAAGCTAATAACACAGTTTTTTTTGAGTTTTAAAAGGTTTATTTTTAAATTGTGTTTATTTTAGAAAGACTATTCAAAACTAAAAACAAGGTTTATCTATTAAAATACAAATACAATTGATTGCCTTTATATAAATAAAGTATAATAGTCTAAAATAAACTGAAAAATGCAAAGTCAAAAAAGTACTTATCTGATTGCAAAATTCATTCAGTTTTAGTTTCTGACCTTCAATGTAAACCTCAGCAGAGGTGTTGTCCGCTCCGAGACTGTTGGAAGCGATGCAGGTGTAACGTCCCGTGTCGTCCTCGAAGGCTTCAGTGATCACCAGAGTGTGCAGGTCACCGTCCCTCCAGATTTGTATGTCAGGGGAGTTTTGAAGCTCACGGCCTTCACAAAACCACCTGCCAAAGAGGCCAATGTCAATACTGGCGTTGCATTACAGGTTGTTCATTACTTTACATGAAATAATTAAACAGGGGTAGGCATGTGGTAAACTTCACAGAAAATGTAAAAATGCAGATAAGATGACATGGATAATTGAATCCGACAAGCAAATGATTTATCTTGGCAACGAGTTAGGCTTACTTCTCTTCCAAATGGAGGTCTGCCAATAACGTCCCATAAAATCTACTGATTCACACACACTCTCCTCCTGGCATGTCTGAGTTAGCTTATCTGCCAAACATCGGCCTCCCTGAGGCACAGACAGAGCGTTGAGTTACGGGAAGCAAAAACACCAGTTTCCATGTTTCCATTCAGAGAGTTGTGCATCTGGGCAGGCGCCTGGGCCCTGTACCACCTCCCTGGAGAACACTAGCGTCGGTCCTCGGTCTAGGATTCTACAGGGGTGAGAGAGTCTACAGTTCCATCAGCGTCATCGGTCTCAACTCTCCTCATGGGGTTATGATTAAAGCAAACCACATCAAGAACAAGATCAAAGGTCAAATTAACCATCCTCTGGCACACACAAGGCTTTTATGTCCCATTCTCAGAGATTCTATCCCTCCTCCATTGATACATCATATGGTATTACAGTGGAAGAGATGTCAAGACCTGCTGACCTCTTGATCCCTATGCTGAACTAGGAGTGTGCAGGAATTCCCAAAATGCCTAAAGAACAGCTGCTCTGCACCCCCGGAGCCTAAACCTGAGGGCATTTCCGCTATCTTGGCGAGATGCATGAAAACATTCCGACATGCCCGTAACTGTACGTTATGTCCTCTGATGTGTCAGTCAAACAGCAAGCAGACTCCTGTTGCAGGAAGCCATCAGTCAGCTCAAACACCCAGACGGCACTTCTTACACCTGACAGCAGGTGTGGAGCAGGATGTGTGGCAGGGAAAGTGAGTGAGTGAGTAACTGAGTGAGGTGAACGAGTCAGAACAGTTCAGATACTGAAAATTATGCACTCTGTATTTTATTGATAGCTCACACTTTAGAGATTCACAAGCATTAGGGATGATTGATATTATCAGTGTACCATTAATATTAGCCCATATCGGAAAACATTGGAATTGATTTTCAGTCTTTTAATGACCCAACCTTTACATACCATACTCATAACATACATCAAACCAATCAGCTCCTCTCTCAAAATGTCAAAATATGAAATATCTGTGATAAAGTTTCTGAGATATTTGACTTTATTTGGTTCAACATGTGAAGTAGAAATTTGCCCTGTGTAGTGAGGATCTACTGCCCTCACAGCACAAAGCTATGTGTGGCTACACGGCTAACAGCCAATAAAAACAAAAACAAACATCTTCCCCAAGGTTTGCTTTTCCTACCTGAAGATCTTTATAAATGTTTTATCACCATAACTACAATATGCAGAATAAGAACAAATATATTACTAACCAATACACACATATTGGGGTCACGCTTAGGGAAGAGAGAGAGAGAGAGAGAGAGAGAGAGAGAGAGAGAGAGAGAGAGAGAGAGAGAGAGAGAGAGAGAGAGAGAGAGAGAGAGACAGAGAGAGAGACAGAGACAGAGACAGAGAGAGAGAGAGAGAGACAGAGAGAGAGAGAGAGAGAGAGAGAGAGAGAGAGACAGAGAGACAGAGAGAGAGAGAGAGAGACAGAGACAGAGAGAGAGAGAGAGAGAGAGAGAGAGAGACAGAGAGAGAGAGAGAGAGAGAGAGAGAGAGAGAGAGAGAGAGAGAGAGCATATATCAGTATCGGTCTATATTGGATATCAGTAAAAACAACAGTATCTAGAATCCCTAATCAGCATCTAAAACAGGTGAAGCTTTGTCTTTCGCTCCTCTAGCTGATGTCTAACCTTTGGTACAGTCTATTTCCTGGGTTATATTAAACATGCATGACTGTTACTGAGCCTCTAGATGTGGGTTTAATAAACGCCAGAAAACTGGTTGCTAATGAAACATCAGAGACATCCTGAAGGCTTCTGATGACCCAACACCCATCTGTGAACTAGACACAAGAGTCAGAGTCTAAAATAACATTATGCATGGAGACGATGTTAGAAAAATGGCTCCGGACAGCTTCCAGGTCTGATGGGGGAGTAGCAGTTGAACATCCAATCATTGCTTTATGAGGGCTTCTTTAAAGGTCAGCTTTACTGGTTTTTTAATACATTTACAGTGGTAGGAAGGAATGCCTAGTAAGTCATCCTCTGGGGACAAAAAGCTCTATTGCACTTGTTTCAGCACAGAGAAGTCAGCCAGAGGCAGGATTTGTAGAATTATTTCCTGATATTTGGACATCTTGCCTTGGATTGGGTCACAGCAATGTGACTCTACCACTTATCCGTTGATATAGATGTTTTATCTCCACAAATAACACAAGCCTGGAGGAGTTCTGCTGTGTGGTGGTGTTGCTGATGCTAACAGTTAGCTTCTGATAACTTATCTGTAGTTCTCTGATGTGGACATCAAACCAACAACAGCCTTCCCCTTCATGAGTTAAGACGGGTGAGTCCATGAATGTTAAGTGACAGTGTGACATAGATCCGTCAGGCTTTTCTAATCCTAGAGTTTCATCGTCTATTTTCTATCAGAAGCTAATGCAGGAGATAGGTGTAGGAGACTATTTTCATGTTCAGCCTGCATGAAAAACTCTGAGTGACTGATTATAATCAGAAACAATCATTAGAAATTTTTTTTCATTGAAGTTGACCTTTAAATGTTGACATAGGGTCAAAAGATATAGTGATTTTTTGTCTATTTTAGTTCACCTTGATTGGACTAAAGAGAGAGAGAGAGAGGGAACATGGTGGTGCAACTGGCAGCACTGCAAGATAGTTGCATCCTTTCTGAGTGGAGTTAGCATGTTTTCCCCATCCACGTGTGGATTTTCTCCAGGTTTCCTCCCACAGACCAAAGACATGCAGGTTTGAGAACCTGGACAAAAATGTCTAATAAATGAATTAACATTAAGATAAACATTAAGCCAAAAAGGGGAACATCACTAAAAGATTGCAGCAAGTCATCCACAGCAGAATGTTTAAGGTCCAAGCATCAGTTAAACTAAAGGAATAATGTAAACAACATCAAATCCGTTTGGATATATGATAAATTTGTGTTCAAATGAAGCCCTGATCTTTTCATTATAGAGTTAGTTAGTGCAGCATCTCCTTATAGCTTGGTGTTTTTGTAACAGTACAAATGTTGTACCCCTCAAACTGACTTGAGGGAATGCATACAACCTGCTCACTTTCAGGATGGAGCTTTACACCAACATTTTCTCATGTTGAGAAATAATGGATGTATGTTTGTCTTGGTCAAACTCTGCAAGAGCCAGCATGATCTATTTGCAGGCTGTGTGCACGTTGAGAATACTCTTGCCTACAATGCAAAAAATGTTCTCATTATCGATCAAAATGACATTTTTGTATCTTCTAATGTCAATAGCTGTGGAGGCAGCTAGCTAGCTAGCTAGCTAGGCAGCAGTAGGCAAACCTCTAATGGTTATTTTCCTACATTTGCATGTAGATCCACCCAGTAGTTCCACAGATACATGCATGAACACAGGGGGACACATTTTTACTCGCCTTGCACTTCTTTGGGTGATCACAGCTAATTATTGGAATTACTTAAATGAGACGAAACAGAGCAGCACACAAGACCCATCAGCTCCTCTGACGGTTGACTGAGCTTTAACCAGGAGGAACAAGCTATTCCCAACTAACACAATAAAACCCCTTAATGATCAATCTTAATGATCCATCATTATGGGTAATTACTGCATAAACTCATTCAGAGACATGCGGTAATGTTTATTTAGTCGCCTCTCTGTGTGTGTGGAATGTGCTGAACATGATAATAGGGCCTTAAACTGCATGCTGCGCTTTCTCCACACTTTGTTGAGTCACGTTCAGTGCAGCAAGAGGAATTCAACCATCAGTAGGTCAGCTTTTAGGGAATCAGGGTGTGTTAGAAAAGCATTCTGACTGAAAGTGTGGACATTTCTTGGCTGAGGGGAGCTTTAACGCCCATTTCCTCTTCACACAATACAGCAATAAAACACAAGTCATCAGAAAGTGCATTTAAATGAGCGGAGAGTGAAAATTCCTGACAAGTTAGGCCTCACCTCTTCATTCATCCCACCCAAAGGCACTCAGCCAGCGAGGTGATTTAAACCCCTCTATTAGCATCAAACAGCCTGTCACCAGCTTTCTGAACAATAATAGCATGCTGGAAACCAATTACACTTATCTGAGTTGAGACAATTGAGGCCAGATGAAGCCTCAGATAGTGTGTGTGTGCTAACCCAGTCCAGAAGAGGGGAACTTTCCATGGGCCAAACCAAAAGCCCGCTGCTCTGGCCTCGTGGTGCGTTCAGGGCCATGCTTTCCTCATCTGACCCTGTTGTTATTTGCTGCTGTTGATGGAAAATTTCATGAAGCAAAGCTCAGTTTCACCACAGACCCGAAACGAGTGGAGAGGCCAGAGGAGAGAGAAGAGGAAAGGGAGAGGTTTCAGTCAAGACCACCACAAGATGTGATCGGCCTTCAAACTACATACAATGTAAAATAATCAATACTGGACCTTGGTGAATGTCTTCCCAGGGAGTGTTTGAGTTTCAGTGAGTTTGCTGTAAACTGGAGAACTCAGCCGAGGTTCAACTGGACAACAAGAGCAGCATCAAGGCTGTTTTTATCCAGAATTACAAACTACAGTCCAAGTAAAGTGAAACGTCCCAAATCCTGTTGGAACAGATGTTTGGTTTTATTATCTTCCTTTCTGTCGACTTTCCTCTTTTATATAAATGCTGAGTTCAGCAGTTTTACAACAGGGAGTAGAAAACCTGCAAGAACAACTTTAATAACAAATAAAAAGCTTAAATCATTACTAAGGCATGTATTCATTTGTATAATATTAAGACTAAATGTCTTTAATCCTTTGATGTCAACCTTTTGGTGAAACTGAGCTTTACTG